CCCCCCCTGGGCCTTTACTCGTGTGTCTCTTGGCCCCTTTGCCCTCCGCGCGCCTTGGGGGCTCTCTGCCAGGGGTTGGGGCCTTGCGAGAGAGGCGGGACCCCGGGGCCGCCCCGGGCCGCCCCCGGGAGGGGCGGCTAGCGGCCCGCCCCCGAGGCCTGGCATCGCTCGGACTTTTTTTGTTCGGCGAGGACCATCTATCCCAGACCTCCTCGCGTTGCGAAAAAATCGCGACTGGAGGTTTTTCACTATTTTCGGCCTCTGGGGGCCCTTACCGGGCCTCGGGATTGTCAAAAAACGATTCAGGACGAGAAACCGGTCCCGGGGAAGGGGTCCAGACCTCTGGGGGTCGAAGTTGTGCAAAAAACACACGACGTCGGGGGTGGTCTGGGATCGAGGAGCATCTTGGGTCACCCTGGAGACTGTTCTTTTTAGGGTCCGGCGATAACCCGGCTTATCGGGCTTGCCCCCTTCCCCTCTCCCCCCCAGGATAGACGAACCTTGCCGGTTGTGCAGGTCCGGGGTGGCGGGGCGCGGGCACCTGCAGGGTTGCCCACAGCGCGAAGGTTAGGTTATAGGCTGGCAACCTCCTCCTCTCCCCCGGATAACCCGGGTTATCACCGATTCAAAAAGAAAACGGTCTCCTGCGAAACCTGTACGCGCGAAACCAAAAATGTGCACGGGGAGTAGACGCCCGAGCGATGGCGAAGAGAGGGGCCGAAAGGTTAGGCTTGGTTTCGCTCGGACGTGTGTGCTTCTTCTCGGCCAGGAGCATCTTGGATCACCCTGCGAAAAAAAAGCACGCACGACACCAAAAAACGCACGGGGAATGGATGTCCGAGCGATGGCGAGGAGAGGGGTCGACATCGCTCGGACGTGTGCCTTTTTACTCGACGAGGGTCATCGAGTAGCATCTCGGAGCACCTCGCGATACACACACACACACACTCACACACACAAATACGAAACCAGAAAAATGCACGGGAAATGGACGTCCGAGCGATGGTGAGGAGAGGTCAAGGGAGGAACAACAAAGAAACGGACCCGATCATGGGCGTTTGCGAAACGGCTTGGGGCGTTTGGTACTAAACGGCCTTGCCCTGATCGGCTCTTTCTTCCTTGGGCGCGTTCACCTGCGAGAGCGGCGGGGGGGCGTGGCGCCAGAGTTTTTTGGGTGCCCGCTCGGGGCGCCGGGGGGGGGGGGGGCGCGGCACATCGCGGAGAAGTCGATGCCGTCTCGCCGCGCCAGGCCTCCCCAGGCGAGCCCACTGCGGGGAGGCTGGCGTCGCAGCGTGATGCTTCAAGACGGCGACGACGGCGACGACGACGACGACGACGATGATCCGTCCTCTTTTGAGGTCCTGTGGGGGGGGAGATGGGAAGCTTGGTGCGCGGCGATGCCGCCGCCGCCAATGACGTCGACGGCGACGTCAACGGAGACGTGAACGACGACGACGACGACGACGACGGCGACGGCGACGGCGACGGCGATGACGAGGCGACGACAACGGCGACGACAACGGCGACGACAAGGTTGAGGTTTATGCTGTTCCAACCTTCTTCAGCATTGAGCACCAGGAAGAAGTCAAGTCTAGCGCTAGGAAAGTAGCGAAACTGGAGTGTATTTCGTGCGTCGGGCCCAGGGGGCGGTACTCGTTCAACACTTCGCTGGCGTGCCGAGCAGACACTGTTTCAATACTGTTCTGTGTGCTCGAAATCATGTCTGGGATGTGGTCCATAGGTCATAGTGAGGGGGCCGAACGCTCATTATTTGTTCCCGGGTGCGTGGCTGAAGTGGGGATCCGCCGGGAGGATTATGCTTGTTGTTGTTGTTGATGTTGTTGGTGTTGTTGTGGTGGTGGTGTTTGTTGTTGCTGTTGTTATTGTTGTTGTTGGTGTTGTTGTTGTGGTGGTGGTGTTTGTTGTTGCTGTTGTTATTGTTGTTGTTGGTGGTGGTGTTGGTGTTGG